TCAAGCCTCTCATATTTGGATTTCTTTTGCCCATTTTGTTATTTTTCTCTTTAATGTGTTCTCTGTATAGGTTGCCAAGACTTTTGACTACAGTCTGACTGGAGCTTCTTCAAGGTCCTGTAAATATGTTCTCAATACCCTTATGCAGGTGCTTACCAGTCAATTTGCATTGGGGTTCTAAGAATTCTGCTTTCCAACCGTTAATTCTACACAGGAATTTTAGCAACCGAAAACAAGAATTAACTCTGCTAAAAGAAATTGTCATATACGAAATGTCCAATCTATTTTTTTACAATGAGATTTTGTAAGATGAAACCTTTCTTGTTAATTTAAAAGTTAATATTTTGCAGACATTTCAAAACAAAAGACTTGCTCATGCTGTCAAGGAGAATACTCTGAACAGTCTTATTACCGAACTCCTTTTGTGGCTTTTGGATGAACGAGTCCCACATATGGATGATGGAAGCCAACTTTTGAAAGCTCTAAATGTTTTGATGCTGAAGATTCTGGTCATTAGTTTCTCAAGATGCTCTTATTGGCTGGATTTTTGGGAATTTTTTTTTAATGAGTTCAAGCTGTTTGTTTTATTATACAGGATAATGCAGATCGTACTTCATCCTTTGTGGTACTAATCAATCTATTGCGTCCACTGGAACCCTCAAGATGGCCGTCAACTGGGTCCAAAGAGTCATTTGCTTCCAGAAATCAGAAGTTCTCTGATTTGGTTGTGAAATGTCTTATTAAACTTACAAAGGTAGTCTCCAGAGCTACCATGTCAGAGCACCCTTTGAATCTCTTTTGACTTTTGAAATCCCGGATCCATCTATTAGGAAACTAACCCATTGGCAGATTTCTCAAAAGAAGACTGCAGAAAAAACTGCTTTGAGATTTACACTGCCTTTTTTTTAAACAAAAAAGAATTTTAAAATTTTCCAAGGAACTGAATTTCAGTATTATTAAAATGGTTTTTGTTTTAATGCTGTGTGTTTGTGTATATGTATGTATGTATGTGTATACCATCTAGATAAATTCTGGCTGTTCATTTTGGGCGTGAGATATTCAGTGATGGTTTCCTGGTGACAGGTCCTTCAAAGCACTATATATGATGTTGATCTTGATCGCATCTTGCAAAGCATCCATTTATATCTACAAAATCTGGGGATGGAAGAAATTAGGAGAAGGTATCCATTGTATTTGGCATATGGTTTCTTTATTTAACTCACCTAACCACCCCCAACGGAAAAGTAAAATATGTCACTTATTGGCTTTATAATATTTTATTTATGTCGCTCTTCTTCTTTCTCATTAAAGAGCTGGAGCTGATGATAAACCTCTGCGAATGGTTAAAACTGTTCTACATGAACTTGTAAAGCTTCGTGGTGCTGCTATAAAGGGCCATCTCTCTATGGTTCCTATTGATATGAAACCTCAGCCAATTATTCTTGCCTATATTGATCTTAATCTTGAGGTAGAATAATTTATATGGTCAATTCTATTAGTATTATGCTACTGTGAAATACTGATAGCTTTTGATATCTCTACGTCCAAGCAGACATTAGCCGCTGCAAGAATGTTGACTTCAACTGGGCCTGTTGGCCAGACTCATTGGGGTGACTCGACAGCAAATAATTCTTCTTCTGGCACACAATCGGCTGATGCACAGTTGAAGGTATTGAGCCCTTGCATGCAATTGATACTTTTTCTATTTGTCTTCTAAGTGATCGTCAGTTATGTTTACATTATTGCTATTATTTTCTTTTTCCCTTCTGACATGCGTCATAGATCAATTTCATTCTTCTGATCGTGTGCATTTTACTGCAGCAAGAACTTGCTGCTATATTCAAGAAAATTGGAGACAAGCAGACATGCACCATTGGATTATATGAATTATATAGAATAACTCAACTTTACCCAAAGGTAATGGACTATCTTTGTGCATAAATATTGTTATTGTAATAAGTGTGCATGTGAACGGAGAGAGGTAAGATGCATGACCCATGTTCATGATTTGGATTAAGATTTAAAATTTGAATTTGATGGTTCCGACATTCCCCTGCGATATGGTTGCGTTACTTTTCGCTTTTGAGAATGAGAACTATCATCCTCACAAACCAGCAAAAGTCTTTTTAGCACGTTTTGTTCTCACTCACTCACATGCATTCTAGGCTCATTTTTAAGAGTGAAAACTATCCCCACAGATCAACTTTAGTCCTTCAACATACTTTATTCGCACTCACATGCATTCTAAGCTCGTTTTTAAGAGTGAAAACTATTCCCACAGATCAACACAAGTTCTTTTACCATGATTTGTCTTGTCTACCTGCATTCTAAGCTCACTTCTAAGAGTGAAAACTATCCCCGCAGACCAACACGGGTCCTTTCAGCATGCTTTGCCCTCACTCACATGCATCTTAGGAAAGTTTCCAAGAGATCACCCAACATGGAATTTCTCCAAGCCAAGCACGTTTAATTATGAAGTTCCTATCATTTCTTTTAAGCCTTTTTTAGTTATCCTATCCTTATGATAACTCTTATCTAGATGTGGTCATGATTCATTCATGTATTATTCCTTTACCCCGGTGTTACATAAGACGGTTTTTCAGAGGGAATGGCTCAATGAAAGGCTTTATTAACACTAGACATGAACGTTAATCAGATTCCAATTACAAGCAAGTGGCCCTCCTAAGAACATCGAAAATTGAATTGGGCTTTGTGTTCTCGAGAGGAGGACAATAACTTGTTTTTTCTTTCTTAATATAAAAATGAGAAGCCTCTGCCATGTAGTTGCTTAGCATCATCTTTTCTATTTCTCAGGTTGATATATTTGCTCAGCTTCAAAATGCTAGCGAGGCATTTCGCACATACATTAGAGATGGTTTGGCCCAGGTTTGTGTCTTTATCCTTTTACCGTGAATGACCCATTGAGATTTTTCTTACAATTTTCTCCAGGTTTAGTTATGACAGATGTGTCTATTGTCCTTATGCTTATTTGTGAATATTGCATCTCCTTGTTTAACTGATACGAATTTTCATTGCAGATGGAAAGGAATGCAGCAGCCGGGAGAACGCCTTCAAGTTTGCCACTGTCAACCCCTCCTCCAGCGTCCTTGAGTTCCTCTCCCGACTTTGGAGCCTTGTCTCCTGTACATACCAATTCATTAACAGAAGCAAAATCACTGAATGTGAAGCCTGAACCGACTAACTTTACTTTGCCACCATCATATACGGAAGACAATAGGATTATTACTTCAAGAGGTCCCACGCCTGATTACTCACTGGGAGACCAAAGGAATGATAAATATATAAGCGGAGGTAAAATGATACTGTTATTTGAGTTGAGCTTTTGTTTCGTTCACACTATGTTTTCTCATTGGATCTGATAATGGGTAATTTTCTGGAAAAGCTCAGTAACGAGTGGGACACTTGATGCAATAAGAGAGAGGATGAAAAGTATGCAATTAGCCGTGGCTGCTGGAAACCACGAATCAGGAAGCAAGCCATTAATGTCTGTAAATGACAATCTACACCAAGGAATGATTTCTCAAATTTCTCAAGCGCCATCAGAGCCTGTTGTTGTCGAGAATTCTACTCAAAGTGGGGTCCTTCCCATGGATGAGAAGGCATTATCTGGACTTCAAGCCAGGATGGAAAGGCTTAAAAGTGGAACGATTGAACCTCTGTGAGAGCTACCAAGTCTGAACACAAGCCGCTGTCGTGTACGATAGGAGAGTTAAAATGTGGATGCCGTTAATAGAGATAAGTATATGGTTTATTGGTTGCTGGTGCTTATTTTTTAAGAGCGCAATTTTGTTTAAATTTCAGGAATGTCTGTCAGGTCGTTAAAAATCGCCAGCATTATTGGTGTTTAAAGAATTGCTATAAAACCAATTGGCAGTCACTCACTTCCAGTAAAATATATATTGGGAATCACATGATATATGTTATTCTTTCCTGTCCATCCACCGCAAGGCTAGATGTATTATTTCTAAAACTCCTCTCCCATTTTAAATTAGAGCTTTGGGGTGTTTGGTATTTTTATGTCAATATAACATTTGATTGTTCGGATAAATAGCTTGGGAGGTTCCGTACAGTAAAATTGAAATTTCCTTACATTTTTGTTTGAGCAAATCTTTGACCGATTTGTCTATTCGATTAGGGTCAATTATGTTGAATGTACAAGTATTCAAATTTGATGACATATTTGCATGAACACAGGAAGAGCCAACATTGGACCAAAGCCCTTACCCACGTTCTCTCTCTAATATGTGTAGTCTAAATTTATAACCTTTTCTTTAAGAAGTCTTAAGCTTACTAATTCAATTTAATCTCCTTTGGGAACTTGGTGTATAATATGAAAAAGTTTTCAATGCAAGAAGGAAGCGTTCACATGAAAAAGGAAGTAGAGAAGTTGATTATGGATGGAGTTGAAAGTTTGGACCTTAATTTTTGGAAATAATTAGAGTGGCATCATTTGAAGTCAAATAGAGGAGGAATGCATAAAGGCCACCACATATTCTCTAAAAAAAGTAAGTTATTTTGTCGGTGAGTGAAGGTCGAAGCAAAGCAAAGCAAACAGGAAGCCTTTCCCCATTGCTTTCATGTTCTGTATTAATTGAATGTACAATATCTCTTAAACAGCCTCTTATTTGACCTCTCATCAGTGCAAATCCCATTAAACAACAACCACCATCATCTCATTCAAATTTGGGTCTTCTTTTTTCTTTTCCTTTTTTATTATTTATAAATGTCTGGAGGACCTCATGTTGTGTAGTGATTCGGAACATAATAAATCATCACACCTTTGAATGCAATACAATACAATAGACGGTTAATACCCAATTCTGCCAATGGGATTTTATGTAATATCCAACTCTCTCTCTCTCTCTCTCTCTCTCTCTCTCTCTCTCTCTCTCTCTCTCTCTCTCTCTCTCTCTCTCTCTCTCTCTCTCTCTCTCTCCCCCTCTCTTTCTCTATACTGTAAAATCACACTCTTCCCATAGAACAAAAATTAAGAAATAAATAAATAAAAATCTCTCAGTTTTCTTACTGTACAATGGGGCATTTAGAAATCCCTCGTGATTGCAAATGTCTAGTAGTAACGTATCAACAACCACACTCCAACAGGATTTTTCTTTTTTTTTTAAAAAAAAAAAAAACCTGGTAGCAGTTTTGGCACACAACGCAGCTCAGCTCAGACTCGGACGTTCCCATTTCATCGCGAGCGGCAGCAGATTATAATACACAAATTGAACTTATTTGTTTGTTCTTCTTGTAGAAACTAAACTAACCTCGAAATTCAGAGTGTTGGGTTTATGGGTGTGAATGATTAGCAGGAGGATATGGTGGAGAGTGTGGTGGCTGAAGCAGAAGATGTTCTTGGAGATGGAAATGCTTGCTTCAGTAGTACAGTTGGCAGAAGGCTGCTTTTTCTCCTCTCTTCTTCCTTTATCACTTCTCCAGCAAACACTTCCAATTTCTCCAAATTTGTGTTCTCAATCATCTTCTTTCCTTTGAACAAAACTGCTTCTAAGTTCTTCTGGGTTAGCATTTCATCTGCCTTTTCCAATATGTTGATGGTTTTTTGGCCTCTGCTCTTAGCTCCAATGCCATTTCCCTGAGACCATAAAACAAATTCCCGTTGCTTGTTAGATGAAATTCACTACGCAGTAACCATATTGGAGAAATTGGAAACATTTATGAGGTTATATGGGAAGGAAATAAAAGAAGGAACTGGGGTTGAATACCTGAATACGGATATAATTGCTTGTCCTGTGGGGGCCAAATGCCATGGAAACAGCTTGATCAACCTATAGAATAAAAGGCACACAATAATTAGCTCACCAAACCATTAGATGAATTACGCCCCATTTCTTTCTCATGCGTCTTTTAATTTGTGCTAACAAATAAAGATTCTCTTGTTCCATGTATTTTATTTACTATAGTTACGAAATAATTATTTATTTAAAAGGAAAATGATTGGAGGACGCCGATTTGTGATGCATTATTTATTTTTAAATGTTGAATACCCAAAATTAAATGCCGAATCACTCTACTTCTCTCTTCCTGCTGCCGACAAATCTATCCATATCGGTTCAATAGTATATTTTGTACTACGGATTTATTCATCTTTTTTACCTTTAAAGAAACAAAAATTCTAGTTAACTAATTCATTGAATTTAATGTATGTGTTAGTTGTTACTGTAGAAGGGCAAGATTAGGTAATTTACCACATCGGAAGCGCCCTCTCCAGCGATCCTTGTGAACGCGGCTGGTGACGAGTTTAGGTTTACGGCGCCGAAATCCGACTCTCCGTTTCCGAGGGACACTACAAGGAGATCTTCGACGGTATTGCAGAACGGAAATTCTTGCTTGTTATTCAACACGTGAGTAATTGCGGCAGCCGTCGGGTTGTTCATCGCTATGCCGCCGTCGACGGCGGTGATTTTTGTTCGCTTGTCGACTGACCACATTTGGACGGCTCCGGAGATTGTAGGTTCTGCAGACGTCGCAACGCAAACGTCGTGAATCTTGAAATCGTAACCGTCCATTTCGTAAGCGTCGGCGCGAGAAAACAAGAATGGCGCTCGTGTGGAGAGGTCATAGCACGGAATCAAAACTGATTTCAACGTGTCCTTCAACGTGCACTCTCCAAACGTCTTCCGAAACAATTTCTCCACCTTCGTCGACCGGAACACTCGTCGGAAAATTCCTCCATCCGACGACCGGAAAATGTCTCGATGGTTCTTAATCAGAAAATTCAACGCTCCATCCGCCGTAAACAGAGCACTACCGTCTTTTCCCTTAGTAAACAGCAACGCCGCGAGAATGCCTCCCGCTCCAGAACCAGCAACCACATCAAAATAGTCGGCAATGCGCGCATCAGGCTTCCCCGACTTCCGACGGAGAAAATCCTCAAGACACGCAAGCGACTTAGCGGCAAGAATTCCATCAGTGGAACCTCCACCATCAATACTTAGAATCCTGACTTTCCCTGAGTTGTGCTTTCCAGATTTCAAGTCATCGCCATCCACCGGAGCCTGAGCGGCGACATGTAGCTTCGGATTAGAATCATCGCAGCCAAAGAGAAACCTATTCTCCAAAATGGAGAAGATCTCATAAGTAAGCTTATCAACATCGAACCTCATGGACTCGATATCGTTAACCTGAGGAAACGAGGTCACAGCCGCCATTTTCCACAAATTGAAGCAGCAAAATCAAACGCTAGAGTGGATTGGGAACAGAAAAAAAAATGGAAATGGAAATGATGAGTATTAATTGCAGAGAAATAGGAATAGAAATAGAAAATGAGGAGATGAAGAAGAAGGAAGTGGCGGGCGAGTTTATATAGCAAAGAGAGTGAAGAGTTAGGTACGTGCGGCACTGACCTTGGGCTTTGCGCGCGTGCGTTCTATTTCATCTTCCCTTATTATTTTTGTTATTTATTTATTTATTTATAAATATTATGACGGAGGAACATTCCATGAATTTGATAAGAGGGTTAAATAATTTTCTTCTTTTGTTTTTATGTAATTAAAAATGTAATTTCCTGGAGGCGTGTTTTGCGGAGGAAATTTAATTTAATAATCTCACAAAGTGTGTTAGGAGGACGGAGGATCCTCCTATAATTTGGTCTTGAAGGTCGAAGTGGTTACACAAAACGTGGTTCATATGCATCCATGTATTTGCATTAAATTTGATAACGGTGGATGAGTAGATGCAGTCTAAGCAGTAGTAGAGTTTGGCTTCTTCTCCTCTCAAGGAGTGGGAATGCACTTGTGATTTGTACGTGTAAGGTACGATGACTAAGTATTAAGAAGGGGAAAAGAAAAAAACAATTCATTTCTACCTGACCACATGTACCAAATGGATGAGCTGTGTCGGAAGAATAGTCAAACCAATTCATTTCTACCTCAGCCAATTTTCTAAGATAATGATCTTTTATTTTTTCTTCTAATTTCTTTTATATAAATAAATGAAGTTACAAAATGAATGAAAAGAATAAAAGATGAAATACGCTATTAATATTTTTGATAGGGGGGCCAAATGTGTAACACTGTGGTTTAATTTCTTATAAATAACTTCAAAAAAATACTCTGCCATTCGATTGAACCAAATAAATGAAGTCCCACTCCCTTTTTCTTTTCTTTTTTTTTTTTTAATTTCTTTTTTATCCCAAAACTCATAAATACCATTAATTTCTGTTTTTCTTCTTTTGTCAATTCGCAACCTGATGCATTCATTTTTATTATTTCTTTTATTCTCCTATACTCTCGGTATTACATTTATTATAAATAACTTCAAAAAAAAAAAAAAAAGTTCTTTTTTCGTACATGGTCCAATTTCACAACCCTTCGCGGGTTGGTTTCTTAAAATACAATGATAGATTATTGTTATTATTATTATTGCATTTGGAAATTAGTTAACAGAGGGGATGATTACAAAATTTTGTTTACATAAACACATAAAACTAATGTGTGTTAGTTGGTAAAAATAGTAATTCCATTTCCAAGCATGACCGTTAAAATCATTATGAATTAAGCACTTTGTTTTAGAGGTTTAGAGAATTAAAATAAATAAATAATAAGTTTATAAATGAAAGCCTGGTCAAGCATCTTCATATATATATATTTTTTGTTATATATAAAATAAAAATATAGCCAATAATACACATGGGGTGGAGGTTGATGATCTCGCTTTCCTACGCCCTTCCCTAATTTAACCACCACCGACACTTCTATTTCTTTATTTATTTTCTCCTCTTTTTTAAAACAACATTATTCTTTTTATTATTATTATTTGTTTATTTTTTTAATGCTGGGGTTTGTTTCATTGTCCATGATTCATGCATAATCTTATTTCCTTTATATGGTTTATATTTTTTAAATACAGCATGTTAAGAAGGGCGTGACACGTAATTGTCTTATATGGGAGGAAAATGTGACATTTGAGGCATTATAATATGGTAAGGAAAGGAATTAGGAGAATAAGGATGAAATTAAAGTAATGTATTTGATCAAAATTAAAATATAACATGGGGATAACAATGAAAGGGACAATGAAATCTGAAGGGGTGATTGTGTCACCCACGGAGTTGGTAGGGACACCGCTAAAAATAAAAAATAAAATAATAATAATAATAATAATATAAATAAAAAGAAAAGAAGAAAATGGAAATGAAGTGGTGGGTAGCTTAATTAAAGGCATCGCTTTAAAAAGAATTGTCATCAAAGTTTTGTTTGGATTTCAACATTGTCGTCACGCTTTCCTGTCTCCTCCACTCTTTCCTCATTACTTTGCAACATATTCCCTTTTTTGTCTTTTAATTACATTTAAGGTCTAATTCTTCTCCTAAATTTCATCATTATATTTTTAATTTATATTTATATTAAATTCTAGGATCGAGTAACGAATCGAGGGAAAGATAACTACCTTAGGCTAATCTAGTTGTAGGGGAGACTACGAGCGAAAAAGTAAATGGTCATTTAAAGTTGTTAACTCGTTCAACATCTCTCTCTTAACCTATTTTAAAAATTAGGAAAAAAAAATGAATTTAATGTTTAAAATAATATACATATTGAAACAAAAATTTATCTAAAATGCAAGTAATGAAACTATTATTTTTTTAAAAGTAAAAATTGATTTAAATGTTAATTTATGAGGCCTAACCAAAATATAGGCTACTAAAATAGCATTTAAATGGTTATGTAGACCAAATTCAAACTAAGCTAAATCACGAAATTACGTTAATTTCATAGCTCCTATTTAGACTTATTAAAATGGGAACTAATTTGGACCAGTTAAAAATAAAGGTACATTTTAGTAATACATAATATATGTCAATAGGAGCATAATTCAATTAAAATAAATCGACTGCAAAGTTAGAAAAAGAATTTCTTTTTATATATCGGTTGAATTAGAAAAATAATAAAATGAAAAAATGATGAAGTTTGATTAGCCCTAATCATGGAGTGATTAGACAAGGAGTGCATTGAGCAAATTGTTGTCTGCAATTAGAAGCTAAGTAGACGGGAAGGATTATAATTATTTTATTTTTTGTTTTTGGAAAGTGAAGGATTAATATTATAAGATGTAAAATAAGGAAGGTTTGTTAACGTGCAGGGGAAGGGGGGGCAAGTGCAGACATTTGTTTGGGTTAAATTAATATAATAATCAATGTTTTAGTTAGAGCACTAATGATTAGTATTAATCATAGCTCATAAGTTTTTTTAAAACCAAAATTAAAATAATGTGCGGAATATGATGCCCAAATACCATAATTTGTCTGATGGTACTGTGCAATCAGAATCAATATTCTTTTAACCAAAGTTTTTCTTCTCCTCTTAATACATTAATGTTTTTTTAATATATAATAAATCTTTAGCATATCATTTTGCTTTTCTAAACCATATCTTAATTCCTTCAGAATTTAAAATGATATATTTATTAATCTATTTATGGTCTATCACATTATATCAATTCAATTAAACCTCATCTAATCAACTTGTCCAGCCCACTATCATGTTGGTGGATAAAATTTTATTTCCATTCATTTTTTATATTGGTTTAATGAATTTTTAGCTATTTTATGGGAATTTAAAAATAACTTGTGATGTATATTTTAACTAACTAATAATAATAATGTGATTGAGGGATTATATTAGGTATATAGAAGTACTAGATTTGATGTCTTATATTAACTTTGATGTGTAATTGGGAGTATATAGACATGATTAAGGCTTTTTTTTTTTTTTTTTTTTTTTAAATTATGGAATGAATAAATAAAAGAAATATGAATTAGAATATGAATAATTGAGATTTTGGTGGATAAGACATGTAGATGGATGAAATTAATTTAACGAGAGGAAGAGGACGTTACAGACGAGAGGGGAAAAGGACAGAAAGGTCAAAGAAAAAACACCCATTCAAATTTAATATTTCAAATTACAAATTAAATCAAATATAGAATGAGAGGGGATGCAAATGGGAAGGGCCTTTTTAGGAAAACGACATACAGCTTCGCCGACACAATTTCGAACGCAAAATCAATTTCTTCCTTTATTAAAAAAAAAAAAAAAAAAAAAAAAAAAAAAAAAAAAAAAAAAAAAAAAAAAAAAAAAAAAAAAAAACCGCTGGAATTGCANTGGTACACGAACCCACACGCTTGCTCTTATGGTCTCTTTTTGACCGCCCAAACTATAGCTTTTATTTTTTCTTCCAAAAATCCTAAATAAACTCGAGTCAAATATGCATTCTAATAGTTCAAGTTTATTGCTAATAGACGATATCGTCTTTAGCGTATTACTTATTTTCGTCAGTCTCACGATTTTAAAACATGTTTATTAGGGAGATGTTTCCACACTCTAATGCGATTCGTTACCCTCTCCAATCCACCATCCAGCCTTGTTAACGTGTCTGACTCTGATATTATTTTTAACAACTCAACTCCACTGTTAGCCGATATTGTCTGTTTTAACGGTATGTATTACTATCCGCCGCATGATTTTAAAAATGCATCTACTCAGAATAAGTTTTCACATTTAGTCAGATACATATTATTTTGCCTACGGTATAGCGGGAGGCCAATAACTAAACCAACCTTAGTACTACATGCCAGAATTTCAACAAATATTGTTGAAATAGACGCTCTAAGAATGTTGATATTATTTAAATAATTACTTGTTGCAATGTGCATTATTGTTTATTATACGACTATACCTTATATCTCTATCTCTATCTTTCTTGATTAGATAGAGACATTGTAACAACATAATCTTTACAATAATGTAGGGCTGTATTAAAAAATTCAGCTATGTTGACTAATAAGCAATCAAAATATGAGCATAATTCTATTTGGAATTCCAATTATTCATTTCTACTTTTAATATTAAAAAAATAACTAACTGATTTGGGCCGAAATGTAATGTATTGAACTTAGTTGGGCCTGGGCTATTTGTTGTCCAATTGGCAAACCAAGAGGCCCACCTTGCCAAAAGACATTTACTGGTCCAATTTGCGATACTTGGCAATTTTTAATGCTTTAATTGAATAATTATTTTTAAAATTAAATACAAAATTTAGAAAATGCAAGGTAAATATAAGACTTCAGGAAGGGCAGTTTAGGCAGTGCAAATTCGTAACGGCTACTCTTCGAGGCTTCTTAGTGTGGCTACTCTTCGAGGCTTCTTAGTGTGAGCTCCACTCAGCTTCCAATTCCTGCGTTTGTCTCGGGAACTGTAAACTTCGTCGTACAATTGCAATACCTACGCTTATTCCCACTCTGGTTCTGGATTTAGCTACGGAAGTGGAGAAAGAACCATGAACATGAACATCTTCAGGAAGAAAACCTCGCCCAAAGGTCTCATAAATTTCTCCCTTACCTCCGATCTGCTCCTGTTTATATCACGATTGCCTTAGATTTCTCAATGCCGCTCTATTTGCCTCGTTTCATGCTTTCTTTCTCAATTTCGCTAGCTTTTTTTCTGTAGATTTCCCTAGTTTGTACGATTTCGGGGTCAATTTTGAAGATGATCAATCGTAGGATTCTTTTCCTGTGGTAGATTAAAGGCGTAATTTACATTTGTCGTACAGTGGTAGGGGCTTTGCAGGGTGCAATGAGAATGATAAATGGGATTCCTCTTATTTTCTTGTAACTATTAAGGGAACTTTAGTAGCCTTGGCTGCGATTACTGCATAAATCTTATTGGCTTGATTAGAGATGTGCGATGACATTGTGCTTTCGTTTCAGATGCTCTTCGCACCAGCAAGCGAGAAATGGCTGTTGCAACTAGAGGTGAGTTAAGGGACTAGATTCCCTTTCCTTGACATGTGCTCTCCTCATCCATCATTAACTACTTCATCAGGAAGATACAGACATGAAATTTTATATTCTATAAGTACATTCATGAAACTCCATCCTTGAATTTTCATTTTTACAAAATTCTTACCCTAAACCTTATATGTTATCTATTTTTAGGCATTGAGCGAGAAATTTCATCTCTTCAGTTGGAGGTATGGTGTGAGCTCCCTTTTGATTTTCATTTTCATTTTTGATTACCATCTTTGCCTTTCTTTGCTCTTAGATTTCACCTCTTTATAACTTCAGGAAAAAAATTTGGTGGCAGAGATAAAGCAGACTGCCAAAACTGGAAATGAGGCAAGTTAACTTTCTTATATATCAATTGCCAACCATGTTCATCTTATCTACCTCCACTAGTTAGTTATTCATGATTCCAAAGCTTCAAATTAGTAGCAGTATATCGTGGGCTTTGTTTGTGATAAGTTTTCTTCTATATAGAATCCGATTTTTCCATTTGTCGAGAAATAAATTTCAATTAAGAGAATGATTCATATTGTTGATCACGTACGGTTAACTTTTCTTTGTTACTTTTATTAGTATTCCATTATTTTGGCACAGACTAAAAATGTTTTCATGTTTTCATAGGCTGCAACTAGAATCCTAGCTCGACAGCTTGTTCGTCTACGCCAACAGATAACTAATTTGCAAGGGAGTCGTGCCCAAATTCGAGGTGTAGCTACTCATACACAGGTCACCATCCTTACCGTGGAAACTTGTTGACCTTCTGTTTTAGTTTTGTGAAAATAATTGGCTTAATGCTGCCTTCGTCTAGGCTCTATACGCTAGCACTTCAATGTCTACTGGAATGAAGGGTGCAACAAAAGCAATGGTTGCAATGAACAAGGTAGGCACGCGAAAGGAATATGATAGCCTTAATTATTTTTTTTTTTAATGATTCTACTATTTTAATGGTCTTACAATAAGCTAGCAGAGAACTGGAAGTAAAACTAAAGGACTATTTTTAACACGAGGAAACTTGTTAGTTTGTATATCATGTTATAACCACACGATCATCTTTATCATCTTTGTTTTTTTTTCATTGCAGCAAATGGCACCAGCAAAGCAGGCAAAAGTGATTAAAGAGTTCCAGAAACAGTCGGCACAGTTGGACATGACGGTAACATTCCCAGTTTCACTATTTATTTTTTCTTGCTTCAATAGTTATTGAATACCAATTACCATATAGTTTCCTGAGAAAGGGAGAGTAAGTTGAAGTACACAAATGACCAAATTGAACAGTTTGCTTTAATTAGATATATCTGAAATTGGGCGTAGCAATGAAACAAGAAGTAAAATTAAGGGATTATTTGTAATATTATTATGTCCTAGATTTTTTCTTCTTCTTTCCACTCATGTTCCTACTTGGTTTCTCCAGATTGAAATGATGTCAGAGTCTATAGACGAAACTTTAGATAAGGATGAGGCAGAAGAGGAAACCGAGGAGCTTACGAATCAGGTAATTGTTGTTACAACATTTTAAGGCTACATAGCTTACATATCTTTAATTGAACTTTAAATTATATTCAAGGATTGTACTTACTTGGATACTTGCTTTTGTTGCTCTCTTCGTAGGTGCTTGATGAGATTGGTGTTGATATTGCATCTCAGGTTGGTTTCTTGACAATTATAACGCTTTGCTTGGATCTCAAATTTTCTTCACTTCGAAAATTTATTGCTGTCTGTAACATTGATTATTCCTGTTGGCAGCTATCTTCTGCGCCCAAAGGCCGGATTGCAGCAAGAAAGACTGAAAATATTGTTACAAGGTACCCTTTGCATTGCCATTTGAATTTTTCTTTCTCGGTAACATTTATATCTAACCTACACGCTGGTTACACTCCTGCTGATTTGAATATAATATGCATATGGTATGTTCATTAAGAAAGATGTAATATAATGTTTTAATGGAGGAGATATTTCTTTGTTACGAGTGGTGATGGGTTTATCATTGATAATGAGCATAATCATAATCAAACAAAATACTAATCTGGTGGTCATATAACATCAAGAAATTTTGTACCTTCTGCACCTGCTATCTTGTATTGAGCTAACAATAATTCAAATTTGCTTTCAGCTCTGAATCTCCTGACGTTGAGGAGCTCGAAAAGAGGTTGGCCTCTCTTCGACGAAACTGAACCGAGATCGAAATCCACAAAGCTGTGAGAATTACAAATACATGAGTTTTTTATTACATGCAAAGTCTATAATATTGTTGTTGGTAGCACATTTGTGTGGATCTTGGAAGCATTCTTATACTAAATCCAATGCAACCACAGCCTAGATATGGAGAGGGAAAAAAAAAAAAAAAAAAAAAAAAAAACC